CAGTGCCGCACCTATATTGGGCTCAAACATGTACTCCGTGTGGAACGGGTCAGGTTCACGACTAACCGGGCGCACCTCTACACCCCTGGCGCGCAAAACCCGGTGCAGTTCACGTACCGGCGCTTCATTGCCGGCAATACCGCACAGATTGCGAGCCATGTGTTCGGCCGGATATATATCTCGGCGGCCCTCACATAACCGTTGAATCTCTGGCCACGACTGGCCGATCAGAAAGCCGTACACTGGGGGCCGTCCGTCGCTGACCGGCGGCCGTACCGCTGCGCACATCGCCAGAAACTGGCGCCGATCGCACAGTCCGTCCAGATATAAGCACATGAGTTCGCCCAACGATGAGCCCAAATAGCCGTCGGGAGTGACCCCTACGGCCCGCATGGCGTCCATGAATGCCATGTGATGTACGGCTGCGGCGATAAACGCGCGGTGAATGTTGTGTTCGTTGAGTTCGTTCTTCCAATCGATAGTTTCGGTCAAACACTCGATGCCGTCGACGCCCAGAGGGGACAGCATTTGGGCCGACGTTTCCACCGATGCCTTAAACGCCGGGATTGTCATCAATGCCGGCACAGAATCCCAAATATATGGCCGCAAACCTAATCAATAATAAGATTTTCAATTTATTTTGTATTAAATTTTACTGTTTTATTTACTTAATCTGATATTTATATTATGATGTGATATAAAATAAGTAACATTTTGTTGTACCTGAAATCATAAACCAAATGCTGGGTTTGTTTTGTGCCGATTGTTTCGCGATGTGTCTCGAGATCTGTTGAAATCGGTTGCCGTCTGTATTCGTCGTGAATACAGCGAATCCGCGCCACAAGTTGTCGTTCACTCTATTTAAGTCATCCCTTCCTTTGAAGGCATTGTCCAGAAGTGTCCTCAACTGGTCGTCGGCTTTCCGGTCGCCGAACCCTTTGTCCAATACATTGGCGACAATACTATGCGTACGTCCGGAGACCACAACCAGTCGTGACTGTTGTTGCAGTTGTTGACCCTTTTGTACATCCAATTCTGGACTTTTGTACAACTCTATTAATATTTAATGAATAATTAAAGAAGTTTGTAATTAATGATTTTTGATGGTAGTATTTGCATATGGTTATTTTATTGTTAAGTGAATTAATACAATATTTTAAATTGTATTATACTAAGATGTTACTTTTGCATTAATATCCAAATCGTGATCATGTTTTACATAGTGTACTGTACCACATTTAAAACTTACTGTACAATAATATTGTAAGTATTAATGTAAATGTTTATTTTAACTAAACATGCTTACGTGATTAAATGCATGAAGGTTTCTGAAATAATTATTAATAATGTTGTAATAAAAATCTAACCAGTGTCAATTATAGCCGCGTACGACACACCCAGTAGTGTCTTATCCATCCATTTCGTGTACTCAACGCTATTGTCGGACGAGTTGTGGGAAATGTTATCCATATTTTGCTCACCAATTGTCTTGCTATCAGTGTTCAGAAATGTTTGATTTCAATCCTGAATTATATTATGAAAGTCACTTATTTATATTTTATCGTTATATTAATGGTATTAAATAAATATTAATGTTTTGATTCTATAATTATGATATATTTTCATTCATATAAAGTAATATTTTATTTGCCATTATTTTTATATATTGTACAGTATTAGATAATGTAAGCAAAGATATTGAAAATAATATTACTATCTAAAATTATATGATAGATAAATTAAATCTCACATATAAACCTTGAAATAAGCAAGCATAAAATAAAATATTATTTAATTTGCCCATCATGTTACTTGAAGGATATATGAGTGCGTGAATGTGTGTGTGTGTGTGTGTGTGTGTGTGTGTTTCAGAGCTTACACTGCATTAGTTATTTACAATCTTCAGACATGCATAGATATATTATACACATTAGATATTTGTTTATTTTCAATAACTTTCATACATATGAAACATAACATAAGTGTATTGTATTTGTTTCAGAGCTCACACTGCATTAGTTATTTACAATCAACAGACATGCATAGATATATTATACACATTAGATATTTGTTTATTTTCAATAACTTTCATACATATGAAACATGACATAAGTGTATTGTATTTGTTTCAGAGCTTACACTGCATTAGTTATTTACAATCNGTCAAGCATATTGACCATATCATAACAAAAACTCCCGCAGTTGATGATTATTTTGATATATTATTTAGTTTTCTAGACTGAATACTTTTCGAGATATTCGACTTCGTAATGGTCTAGTCCAATAATGTACACCCGATATATTGATTTATTGACTCTATATCAACTATTAGTATTTTTTGCAGTAAATACATTTAATCAAGACTATATTTTTAATTATATTGCAGAATAATGTGATTATTTTTTGTTGATTTTCGTATACTGTAGTGTATTAAATTAGTTTTTTAAATAGTATAATTATTATTTAAAAAACTTCTCAAATATTAAAATATACATAAATTGTAGAATACATTTATTAATGTAACTATGAATACACAAAATCAATTTTTTTAAATAATTAAATATTGTAATAGTGTTATATAACAATAAATAGTGTTATTTTATGTGTGAAATGTAAGATAATATGTAAGCTTTTAATGACAATAAATCATAAAATTTAATAAGATAATTATTTAATAAGATAATTAACGAAACATTTGCAATAAAATAACGGTAAAAGTAATGACAGAACCGATAAATTGAAATATAAATGCCTTATTTATGGGAAACACATTCCAAGCCATATATTCACTGTTAAAATAAATATTAATTAATTGTGTTATCAGAATATTCTTTGCTTCCAATTCTTGCATATTTAACACACGATTTGTTTGATTTAACTTCAAAAATATGGATGAATTTCTTGGCCATTGGCTCTGAAAATAGTCGACACAAAACACGTAAAACACATTCAATGCAATTATTTGCATGAATTCCAGTAATCCTTGTTTAACATCAAAATACGGGTCAGATATTTGTCGGTTTAGTATATAATACGATAGCCGGAGACAAATGGATGAAAACATTTCCACAAACTGTAGAAATGGTAAAATACCTAAATATTTGTTGAATGACTCCTTTAAGTGACTGATTGTCATTAAATTGTGGTATAATTTATTATAATTATTATTATTACTGCAATTGATTAAACATTTATAGACATCACTTTCTACGAGATAAATAGCGTATGAAATGTGGATTAGGGTTAAGTTAGTTGCAATAATCCAACCAAAACCCCATACAAACCAAATCATTAAAAATATAACGTTTACAACACTTACGAACGTATATAACGTAAACCTTATGGCGATATAAAAAATCCAGAATAATAAGAATATTCTGTTCATTACAACGAGTTTGCGTTTATCGACATCGTTTAGTAAGCCATTGATTTTTACCATCAGATTTTTTGTAGTCTTAATGTTTATATTAATGTATATGAATGTAATAAATACAATAAATGCCTTGATCAGATAGGAAATACCAAATAAACTGCTCCCTATGTGTGTATACTTCATAAGCGCTCGTATGCCGTATTGAAGCGAAAATATTTTTGCCGCAAATGTTGTTAATTTAAATGTCCAGACAATTAGTTTGAATAGTTTTGTGTTAAATTTGTTGCCATTTTCATTGAATAAAAATATATTAAAACCAAATAACAGGTATATTATTGAGAAAGGAAAGTTATCAGGGTGTTCAGACATTGTAGTAGATGTTTAAAATGTTACTTGTTGTTAAAATGTTGTTATTTTTAATATGAATTTTTATTACAGGATGTTATTATCTTTTAATTATCATATTTTAATATATTAAATATATTTCTATTTATAACATATTCTATATATAACAAAATAATATTTAATAAATAATATTTACGACAAGCTTTTCAATAAATCATGTAAACAATAGTAATGAACTTATGATTTTATCATGCACTTTTTGTTTAATTATATGTTTACTATAAATAGTATTGTTTGCTAATTATTTGAAACACATTTTACTTGCACTTAAACAATATTGAGTTATAAAAATTATTCACATGAAATATAATTAATTTGTATATTGATCAGTATAATAGTTATGGTAGTTACATGTCGGTAGTACATGTTAGTTTACATGGTTACAAGTTACATAGTAGTAGTTGTATTAAGTGCTTAACAATTGAATTAACATAACAGTAAAAGTAAGAACAGAACCGATAAATGCAAACAAAAACTTCAAATTAATAGAAAACACATTGAATGCGATGTAATCTGTTTTGAGATAACATTTGAAATTTTCAATCAATAAATTTTTTAACGATAATTCACGCGAAGACATCGTTTGATAGGTTTGCGTAAAACTAGCCATCAAATCATTAACAGTCGGTCTATGACTTTGAAAGTAATTAATTGTTAACAAATACCCTATAGTTATCCACAAAACAAACACATAATCCGAGAGACCGAGAATTATAAGTTTATTTTCGCCTGAATTTTGTTTATTAATACAAATATGTGTTAATCGGAGACAAGTTGTGGAAAAAATCTCGCAAAACCATAGAAATGGGAAAATACCCAACACTTGATTTATACGCCTTTTATAGCCAGTGATTGTACACAATAATTCATAATAGTGTTGGCTATGTATTGGTTGTCCCGATATAGTGAACAATTGTCTTTCCATAAGGTGTACGGCATATGCGATGAGCACCAGTAGTAATGGTGTGACAGTTATCATACCAAACAAATGTATAACCCATAAGACTGGGCGTAAAATTGCAATAAAACTCATGCCATCGATCGCATAAAAAACAATTGTCATCACTATTTGCATGAATGTGGTTGAAAGCCATATTAAACACAATATTCTGGACCAGAATTTGACTAATCTTTTCTCGGATTCTGTTAAATCAGTCAATATATTGATAATAAGTGTATGGATTTTTATCACGTTTATCCGAAAGCACATGATGCTAGTGCCTGTACTCAATACTTTGGTAACTATTGATATTCTAAACAGGTATTGTTTATATGATTTTAGATTTAATAAACCATTAAGGTGATAGTAAGCGCACCAGATAATTGTTATTATGGTAATTATTTTTGATAATAATTTGAATACATATTTTATACACCTATGTGAGTTTATGATTTCAAATAGGTCAATTCCAATTATTAAATATAGAACTCCAAACGGAGTAAGTATTGATTTTATTAATTGTGTCTCGGTCATTTTTCTAATCTTAATTAATTTAGTTTATATAATTCAGAAATAAATAAACTTTTTTAAATTAATTTAATCTATTATATTAATAATTTTTAACCTATTTAAACCAAGTTACAACTAAAATATTAAATCCCTTTAACAATATCATTATGTTTTATTATATAAATTAAATTCGTTAAAACAAATATAGCTTTGTAAATATTTATTATATTTACTCGTGTTTTTATTAATTTATTAAATTCTGAAATAGTGTTTAAATGTTTATATAATATAAAACACATAATCTATAAATGTAAACAAAATACAATTTTATTTAATTTTTTTAAGTACTAAACTAGTGCATTTATTGACATTATTATTGATTAAAATTCATCTAAATAATATATTTTATTTATTTAATGTAATGACTAAAGGAATAAATGTTAATAAAAATTTAATATTAAATAAGTGGTCACGTTAAACAAATTTTAAATTTTAATTCAGCTCCCGAATCTAATTAATATCTATATCACTTAACCAATATATGCTAAAACATGATAAACTAGTATTTTACATAATAATATTCATTCACAAATTTCTAAATTATCGTAAAACTTTTTTACATTAGAATTTCTTAGCTTAACTTTTTATTGGGTGTTTTCGCTTAAAATATCCTTGTTAAAAATGATTAAAATCTAAATGTAAAATTGATAAGGCACAACAAAGATGTTCCATAGTTACAATAGATTCATAAGAGAATTTGAAATTAAAATTCGGGACGTTATATACAGTGTTCAAATTTTAGTATCTATACATTACATGAGTGCTGGTGTGATATTCATTATACTTGCGACAGATGTTTTTACAAGTAATGTAGTTTTTGTATTTTTACCTTGTCGGTTATTGAACTATTTGAATCAAAAAATTAAAAACAATTTCTCGTTAAATATTTTTCAATATATTTAAATAATTTTAAATAATTAGTAATACTTTTTAATAATTTTTAAAGGCAAACATATTTCAATGTAAAATAAAGTAAAAGGTGCATTGTCCTATAAATAGCAATTACAATTCTGAAATAAACATAATTACTATAAATATAAAACTTTATAAACTAGTTATTATAATTAACTTATAAATAAAAATTATGCCAAATATAACTCCCTTTGCGTACAAACTATTGGCTGTCGCGTGGATTACAGCCCAACGACAGATCATTCACGACAACACTTGTGCCCGAACTCA